CTTTCTAAACGAATTGGCCTGGAATCTGAATTCATGATCTGGAGGTAGAAAGCGCCTATGACAATCAAACCAGCAAGGCTTCTGCCCGTATTGAAGAGTAAATGCTTTGGAATCACTCATGCATTCGGGGCATGCTAGCTTGCCATGGATGCTCCACCCAGCGAACATACCAAAGGCAGGAAAGTCGTGGACTGACCATAGAAATGCCGCTTTCATTGGAAAGTTTACCTTGTGATAAGCATCCCATGTTTCAACCCCTGTCCACAATTGCATCAGTTCATCAGCTAAAGGTTGCATTAGGACACTCAAATTTTTTCCAGGATGTTCAGGACCAGGGATAACAAGGCTAAGGAATATATACTCTGGTTTCAAGAGAATACCCAGTGGAAGGTTTAATGGAGCTACAAAAATAGGCCAGCAAGTATATGGAGCAGCATTCAACTTGTATGGTGTAAAACCATCACCGGCTATGACAAGACGGACATTTCTACGATCTTCTGCAAATTCTGGGAAGTCCTTGTCAAACCCTTGCCAAGCTTCACCAACGATAGGGTGGACCATCTTACCAGAATTGGAACGACTATGTGACTGCATATGTTTTGTTGTTTCCTCGTGAGCATACAACCTCTGTAATCTATCTTTAAGAGGGAGATATCTCAACACTTTATGTGGGACTTTATTCTGGCCTTCCTCATAGCGAGATGTACCGCAGATGTCACACTTGTCTTTATGCTCATTATCTTTATAGTACAACATGCAATTATTTTTACACACATCAATCTTGACATAAGGCATACCAAGGCCTTCTAAGAGTTTCTTAGATTGGTAGAAGTCCTTGGACAAGTTAGCACCCGGAGGCATAAGTTCATGGATGATTTGTAACACATCATCATATTCTGCAATTGACATATTGTACTGAGATTTCAGTGCTAGCAAACGAGCTACTGCAGAAAGACGTGAGTGTGTTGTGTTCTCATGGACAATTTCATCAGCACTGCTAACCATCCTATAGAAAGCCTTGGCAGAGGAGGTTGGTTCTTCATCAATCGGTGGAGGACAGTTGCCACCTAGGTCAACTAACATATTGTCCATTCGGTCAATTTCATCATGCCTCGCACAGTTTGTGGCAGAGGAAGATCCCTCTTGGCTAGGAACATACTTCTCACCATGTTCTATCCATGTTTCATAGTTTTCCCTGAACCCCTATTTATACAAGTGTTTCTCTACCTCATCCCTACTGCGCTTATTATAATTACGACACTTGGCACATGGACACTTGATTTTACCACCTTCGGCTACGCCTGGAAAAGAGAATGCATGCTCTAGAAATCGGTTGGTTTGTTCAAGCCATAGGTTAGAGGGAATTTGACCATACTGCCAACCATTATACATCCATGCACGATCTGCCATTTAACAAATTATGTGTTGAAAATGGAATAGATCAGCTATTTGCTTATTTAACCTCAACATATCATACTTAATATGAGTTTTCTAGCAACAACAATACATGTATAGCAATTGGAAGCAAACAGATGTACACATAAGATAAAAAATGTAATGCTGAAAGTTTAATGCTTACCAAAGACCTACTGAAATAGTGAAAAATATGGAGTCACCAAGCTGGCTAAGAAACTCCCACAATCCACTAGCAAATCCAAGATCTAATCCTATTACACATAGCATAACAATTTAAGATAATTAGCATAAAGATAGTAGGAAATGAAAAAGAAAGAGCTCAAAAAACAATTAGAGCAGCAAAATAATAAAAACCTTTGGTAAGCATTATCAGACCAGAAAACAAGACATGCATAGAATATATTTGAGAAATCAACCAATATTAAACGACAACAAGCATGTAGTACTGACCACTACCTTGACAATCAGCAGTTTAACTATGTTTTCTTTCTCGTCAACAAGTGAAATAACTTCAGAAGTCCTATAACCTGGGAGATGTAAGCAAAAGATTTGACTTAGATTTTGGTATTTGGTAGTCTAATCAGCAAGACAAAGTATTTGATAGTCTACTAAAAAAACAAGTGCCAAATCAGGGTAGGCGTACAGATTTGTATTTTTTTCAGCACAAATCTGATAGGGCCTAATACTATGCCGTGGATGGGTAACTACCACAATCCCCAAGTCTATCAAATCCATCTTATTCCTACATGGATTAGGCATGTACTACCAGCAACGGGGGTAACAACCACAACCCCCAACTCTATCAAATCCATCTTATTCCTAGATGGATTAGGCATGTACTACCGGCACAATGAAAGATTCAGCCATATGGGCTCCTCCGCCACTTACCACAAACAAATCTCGAACACCATATGAGCGTCACCTGTACAGGAAAGGGTGGTACCTGGATTGGAAAGGGCGCCGCTCAGGGAAGGATGCGGTGGTCGAGCGACGGCGGCCACGGGGTCGTTGACGACGACCCTCTTCCAGAAGTCGTGGGAAGCTTTGCCGGCGACACTTCGGAGGCAGCGGGTCGTTGGGCTACTAACCAGCAAATCAGGCGGAGGGGGCGGACGAGAGGATGGAAGAGGCGAGGGATTTGGGGGCGGAGGGGGCGAACAAGAGAATGGAATAGGCGAGGGATTTGGGGGCGCAGCCGACGGCGAGGGATTCGGGGCGCAGCCGGCCGCCGGCCGATGGAGAGAGAGCTAGGTTGGGGGCTGAGATTTGGGGGAGAATGTTCGTGAGTGAGCTAGGTCTGGGAGCGATATGGGATAGAGCCCATATGTTCTTTTTTTTAGAAGAACGGCGGGCTCGAATTGGCAAAGCGGCGGGACATGGGCTACCTTTGGCGCGAATTAGATGAATCCGTGGCGCCAAATGGGCTATTCCTGTGGGCCGAGAACCGACCGACACGTATATTATTATTCATGTGTGTCGATGGACGAGCGCACAGGAAAAGAATGCGGCCCGACAGTAGAAGCCCATTTCCCTGTGCGCTAACGCGGGCCCGACAGGAAAATAAGAGACTCGCAGAAATATTTCAGTTTCTGGTAGTGAGTGCCCGGCCAGTGACCACGAGCGTGCCCGGGCGCGTCCACGGACGTATAAGGGGACGGATTTGCCAAGTCCGGCTGTAGATGCTCTTACCATGGCTTTGATGTGATGATAGTGTGTCCGCCATCCATCATTTCTGACCATTAGATCTGCATTTAATGACTGTGGGGTAAGTTGTGGCCGGCCCTTTTGCAACAATAGTGCACTTCTTTGCTCCAATTTATATAAAAGTATCGTGAAACCAACCACATCCCTCCTCACCTCATCAAAACAACCCGATGGATATATTTTGAGTGAAACATAACATATTTTTAGTGATACATATGTATATCAAAACTAAGATATTTTCTTGCAGGTTTACAACACAAGTATTGTCCTACTTTAAATTTGTTACAAAGCACGGGCACATTGCTGGTAGATAGAAGAATCTGTCTGCACGCTTTTCCCCTCCTTTTCGGAAAAAAAGAAAGGATCTTCTACAACGGCCAGGTCCGGTTTACATTACGCTTTTCCGGCACGACATCTTGTGTTTGCCGGTAAACATCCTTGTTCACAGCATGGAGCTGCGTCCGTGTATGACTAGGCCTAGTCTTGACGGGCGCCCGTGCTCTAACATGTCCTCTTAATTACCACGCCGTTGCTATGAATCACGTAGCCAAGCCTGATGTAGCATCCAGGCTTCAGACAATTCTCCTGATAATATCTAATCATGGAGTAGGATTTTTTTAACTTTTTACTCCCTCCGTTTCTAAATACTTGTCTTTTTAGAGATCTTAAATGGACTATCATATACGGATATATATAGACATATTTTAGAGTCTAAATTCACTCATTTTGTTTCGTATGTAGTCATTTATTGAAATCTCTAAAAAGACAAATATTTAGAAACGAAGGAAGTATTTTTGAATATTGGATGCTTTTGTTTATTGTTATCCACGTCAGGAAGGCTTGAGCTACAGCCCAGACGGAACATCCATTCGAGAGAACCTCATACAGCTAGCCAAGCCCCATGCCAGGATATATGATCCGCCTTTTTTGAAAAAGGAAAAGTAAAATGATATGGCCTGCTAGCAGGTCAGATATATGCATGGCCTACTAGCCTGCCATCTCTATTATCTCCTGTTGATTTTTTTCAAAAACAAAAATTGAGGGGTTATCTCCTGTTGATATGCCACAGGAAATATCTCACAAGTACAATTATTGAGGGGCCCACAAGGAATATCTTGAGAGACTAATAGTCAGTACGCCCTCTTTTGAAAATTGCAGCTGACCTTACTCCCTCCGTCCCATAATATAAGATATTTTTTATACTAGTGTAGTATCAAAAAACGTTTTACATTATGGAACAAAAGGAGTAGATATCATCAGGATTTCTCTCCGCACCCAAAAAAGAAGTTATCATTAGGATATTGTCCATGCTTTTTTTCTCCGTTGCTAGCACAAGCCTTGGGTTTTACTAGATGATGCCCCGCACGTTGTTTCGGGAATGTTTGCAATATTTCAATGAGATTTTGATTATATGAAACATGAATTCTTGAAACAATAGTTTTTGAAAGTATATAAGAATTAAATGTAAATAGCATAATAAAATGAAATTTTACATGCATGCATGTTGTAGTGGATTTTTAATATGAATAGTTGCATGTTGAGGTGGGTCTTTCCTTATGCATGTTGAATAATGAGGTGGCATGCTTGCATGTTGAGATAAATATGTTAATGGGGGCTAACTATTTAGATATAGAAGATTACTCCAGGGAACATGAAAAGCAATCAGTTACGGTTACCGGTTCAGTTTCCAACAGCAAACAAGATAATGATATCTAAGATTCCTTTTATCACTTTTGCCCTTCTGCAAAAGGTCTTCTTTGTTTTACAAATTTCCCTTTTAGTTCCAATATGGATGTCAGCTCAATTCACTGGTGGACTCTACAACAATGTGACAATGACATATAGGAAACGCCAAAAAAAATTTGAATCGCGCTAACTAGCTACAACTTGGAGGCGACCGGGGCTTCGGATTGCAGGCTCTCCTGGCTCCTGCGGGACAGCATCTTAGAATCCTGCGAGCAGAAACGCGATAACATATTAGACTACGATAATGACGCGCCGTGATGCACCAAGACAACAGCGTACAAGTTTTATGCATCTATCAACACCCAATACAATGGAGAGAGCATTTACCTGCACTATGGACTGAGCACAAAACTTCCCTGACAAAACCGCACCCTCCATGGAAGCCAGGTATTTCTGCTTTGTGTAATCGCCGGCCAGATAGAACCCTTCGATCGGTGATCGTTGCAGGGGTCGGCAAGGTTCGCAGTTCGGGACAGTCTTGTAAACGGACCTGTAACAGCGAGCCAGGAAGTGTAATAAACCATGTAAGAGAAGAAGAGCACATCAAAGCCGCCTCTTTTATTAGCCATCACTTTATCAGGAAGGGTGTTAGGGAAATGTCCTGACCTCGGTGTCTTCACAACATGGTATTTAAGAATCTTTGCTTTACTCTGGTCAGCAGCGATTTCATCAGGAAACAACTTGGCTAGCTCTAGCATAGTTGCTTCGATGATTTCGGTGTCACTCCGCCCGATCCATTCCTCTGCTGGAGCAAAGACCAGCTCCAGCATTGAACGGTTTGGATCATAGTACTCCTGTAAACAGTTAGAAAAGAATATGAAAATGAAACGATGAGTATGTGTTCATGTCCTTGGTTCTTTGTCCTAAGCTATTACGATATTATTATAGGAAAAAAAGCAATTACGATTAATAAATCAGCAGTCAACTGACATGTCAGCAATGACAAAAGGATGCCATACTTCATTCTTTGAGATAACTAAAATTTGCAATGCCAGCAGTAATTATTAGTTTAATAATGAATTCCTTCTGCGGCACATGCATATTTTTTACATAGGCGTATAGACTTTGGGGCATTTGTTCATAGTGAAATATAAATTAAGGTTAACCCGCATGCAATACTTAGAAGTGAACTGCAAACTAAGCCTAAATCGTCAAGTTAGTACCTTGCACGCTAAAGACATGTCTGCATAAACGCTTAAAAGTGAACTCCTGAAACAGAAAGATCAATATATTGTAAGGGACATATGTTATTCAGTACAGTATCAACCAAGAATTCAAACATGGAGTAGGAAAGAATGCACCCAATCTGAATACTGGACAACAAATTCATTAGGCGTCAACAATAAGATCAGTATGACCAAAAGACATACCTGCTGAAAAGAAGGTGGTCATACGTGTTTTTCAGTTTTCTGTCAAACCTGAAATATTCAAATCAACAGAAACACTAAGAGGTATTTCAAAAATTCATGGAGCACACGGGCACAAGTAGAACCACAGCACATAAATGACGTCGTAACTTACAACCCTTTAAATCAACTAACCATATATGAACATTGATGACAGGAACTCCCACCAACTTATCCAGCCTTTTGAAATAAGAGATCTCTCTCCACTCTTGTGGTACAAGAAGCTTGAAGATATCAACTGAATCACAAGCTAGTCAGTTAAACTGAATAGGTGCAAAGGAAGCATGATTCTTGAAAATAAATCGCACCTGGTGCTGCAAAAACATATGCATCTCCAGTTATTTGAGTCCCATCAGTAAGTGCAAAGTGCTTCACTGTTCCGTCCGGGTTCAGTTCAATTTTCTGAATACGAGAATTCAGCCGGACCTCACCACCCAAAGACTGAATGTGGTTAACAATAGGCATGCATAGCCTTTCAGGAGGATTACCATCCAAGAATGCCATTTTCGAGCCATGCTTCTCCTACACATTTACACAGTTTTTTCATTAAGTAATACCCCCAAGTTGTCATTATGGTGTGATTGTGTGAACGAATGTTTGTATCTTCTAAAGGTAATAAAGGACAGAATATGTCAACTATGTCTACAGTAGGAATAGAGGAAATGAAGTTGTACCTGGAGAAATCGGTTTAGAGCAATCAGAATGCACTGCATGGATAACTCGTCAGGGTTTATGAAATTGAGTGCCTTGGACATTGCAATAAAAACCTCGTCGTTGACCCGATCAGGAACACCCTGTGCTGATTAAATAACTGTATCAGAAACTGTATTGACTCATTTACTGGGACAACAAAAGAAAGAAAATACTCCCACCAATCCATATTAATTGACGCTGGTTATCAACATTTTAGTACAAATAAGAAAGGTGAACCTGCTGTGTATTAATTAACAAAGAAGAACCTGCATTCTCTTCGTCTGCACACTTGGGATTTAACTTGAAAGATTCATAAAACTACAAGCATTGTTTAAGCCTAAATTTGCATACAAAAGGGCTTGGTTGAAGATGAAAGATGGAAGCTTGAGCATTTATGGACCAAAGAATATGACAATAAAAGGCACCAATGTATTAGCAAACACATATTTTCTCGTTACAATGTAGCCTCATAGAGATTGCAATATGTTTACTACAGTGACGAATCTAAATGACACAGTGAGCTCATACCTGCTTTTCCATCCATTCTGAAACAGTTAAGCCATCTTGAGCTTCAACGTAAGCTTGGCCACCAAGCATTGCAGGTAGAAGCCCAATAGCAAACTTCACCTTCTCCGGCCAAGTAAGCATTTCATTGTTTTTCAGTATGGCCCACACTCCTGTTAAATGCATGCATTGTCAACGATAACCTGACATTGATTGGCAGAGTAGCTCAACAGCCATGATCAAACTTGTTTATATTTACTAATAAACCCACTAGTTGATTCATATATTAGCACTTAAAGAACTAACACTAGGATGCATTTCTGAGTTTTCTTGGCATTCTTTCTTCTATTGAGCAACACCAGGGCTATGTATAACCTTACCATTTAAGGGCGCCGGCAAAGTCTCTGGAAAATCAAAACGGCTGTATTCTCCTGGTTTGTTTGGCATGGCAAATATCATGGAGTGTTCCTTCCATTGCAAGCGATCACTAATACCAAGCTCAGCAAACAAATTCTGTACATTGGGATAAGCTCCAACTGAAAAGAAAAAAACATATGGTTACATATATGCACAGAATGAAAAGTATCGTACTATCGTACACATGCTATTGGAAGGGAAGAGAAGGCTGGTAGAAGAAAAAATTATAGATAAAAAGAAACTATTCAACCAGGCTTAAAAGAGTTTGGGACCGATCTTTACTTCCGGAAGAATTCATTTCTTAATAATGGCCATGCATAAAGTCCACTAAAAATATTATTAAAAAAAAGTAAGGCCCATCTGGTAGAAATTCAAACAACAATAAAAGTTGACAGAACAAAACACTTTCCTTCTTTTTTGCAATTTCAGTACCTGAACATGACTCCTCAGAGATCAGTTCGTACTTCACTCAAGGTGTTTTATCATATTTGTCTGAAACATCTACCTATACACTGGTAATGGAAATAACCTAGATAACACACAGAAGCACAAACATAACCTCGAAGAACCAGAGCCAGAACCAGAGCTTACAAAAAATATGAAGGCCAGTCTCGTACCAATCACCATCTTCATCCTTCCATGCAGCTAACTGTTCAAGGCATACAACGATAGAAATAATAAGAAACAAGGCTGAAGACAATAAATGAAAATTAAGATCACATAAGGAGCACAATTTTAGAATTGAGATAAGCAAGTATGTAAGTAATGATCAGACCTTTCCGCCCAACACATCTCTTGCCTCAAGCACTATGGGTTTATGGCCAGCATCTGCCAGGTACTTTGCAGTTGATAGACCAGCCAATCCTGCAAAGTTCACACCAGAAACTAGTAACGCTAAGAGGCAATGGTGATTCACTCAAGGGTATCTGGTGTGCGAAAAAGTATACATGTTTAAATTTTGGAGTTACATCAGACTTCAGACCTGCACCAGCAATCACGACCTGTAATGGTTTACTGGGGCGTTCACTGCTTCTAAACGACGAAGAAAGCTGGCCAGCTTCCAAATAGTTAATCGTGTTCTCTAGTGGAGGCCTTGGAAAATCTTGGCAAACAACCTGCAAAGAAGGCAAGCAATTATTTGACAAGAAATGCTATGGGGAGATAAAACAAACAATAAGCTTTTCCGCAAAATAGAAACACAGGCAAAATATTAACCTGCAGAGCACGAAGTCCACGGCGTGATCCTTTTACTTTATTCCTTAAGCCAAGGGAGGTCGTACGGTGACTGGTTTTTAGTGCCTGGACACTGCTGCTTGTGAAGCACCTCTGTGTATGAAGTTGTCCGGCAAAAGATCTTACTTGCTTCGCTCCAGCTATGTTGATAGATGATAGGCAGCTGGTATCCATACTGAAGCAAGCAGTGTGAGATTCTTGTCAACCTTATTTGACCAATGGGCGCGGAAGAAAACTGCATAACCAAGAAGAGCAATTAAACTCGCAGCTCATGAGGCCCTCTGTTATCAAGTCAACCAAGTTGTGTCGCGATTCAATCGATCCAGATTGCAGTAACTTGGGTAAACAAAAGCCACAATCTGCCTAGAAGCCAAATGACACGGAATTTGGTCCACTCAAAGTGGTGTGGTCTTGCCTTCATTTAGAGAAAATGAGCATAAATAAAAGCATGAAGATATGACAGGTCCAGGCAATCCATTTACTCTGCAGTTGACATAGAGTTCGTTTTAAATTCCTAAGACCCCGTGTGTTTCCATGTAGGAGTGGTTGTGCCCGTTTAGATTAGTTAGAACAAGGACATGAAATGGGCGAATAAGGCCTGGTCTGGCTGCACGGTAAGCAAATCGGGCACGCAGCATACGGTGATGATTTTCGCGGTCGATCGGGAAATTCAACGCCTCTAATCTGAAGTAGAACAATAATTAAACCCTTGGAAAATCCTCAACGCCCGCCCCGCCGCCCGAGCTCTGCTCGCGCGGAACCGCGGGACTGGAAACGCGCCGGCGAAGGGAATAACAGATGGGAGAGGCGACTTACCGCCGCCGGGGGAGGAGAGGGACGCAGCGGCGAGGCGAGGCGGGTGGGGACGGGAGGGAGTCCAGACTCCAGGCGCGAGGGGAGCTTTATGTACGGCGCGGGATAAGGCTCGTCGCCGGCTGGGGGGTTTGGGGGTGGTGCGGTGCGAAAGGGACAAATCGGGGGGGGCGGGGAAGATGTGGTGGCGGAGGATGCCTTTTGGCGGCTGGTGCGCTCTACGTTTTCCCTGGAATATACCGCGGCCACCTCACACGTTTTCATGGCCATGGCCCGTCTTCTTTCTGGTTCCAGTCCTGCCTGCCGGACTGCACGAACAATGGGTTTTTTTAGCCAAAACAATGGGTTCGTCGGGTTCCCCGGATGAGGAGTATCAAGACAAGGACTTGGTGCATTCATTTGCAAAAGAGTTCATTGATTCGTTGGATTCGGGCAACGAAGATGTTGAGCTGTTGATGAAGACCAGCATCCAGGAGGAAATGGAGAGGGGAGTGGAGCATATTCTGAATTTCAAAACGTTCGGTCAAAGGGAGGAGAGTTCTAAACCGGGATAGGGTCGTTGGTGCACGGTTGCTCTATAAGGACCACTTTCGGCCCGGACCAACATTCCCTAATACATTTTTTCGTCGATGCTTCCTTACGCGCAAACCCTTGTGTTTTGCACGATGTGGACAGAGTGGAGGCACATGATCCCTACTTCAGGCTCAAGAGGGATTGTTGCGGACTCCTTTGTAGAAATGCACGACTGCTTTGAGAATGCTTGCATTAGGTACCGTTGCTGATATCGTTGGTGAGATGGTCCAGATTGGGAAGAGCATATGCCTTGATACCACTGTGAACTTTGCTCGTGCCGTGGTCAAGGTGTTTAGAGCAGAGTATTTGCGAGAACCAATTGTGCAAGATACAGAAAGGTTGATCACCATTGAAGCGACAAGAGGTTTTTCAGGTATACTTGGTTGCATTGGCAATGCAAGAACTCCCCCAAAGTTTTTGCACAGGATGTACCAAGGTCACATCATCATACTAGAAGCAGTGACATCAAGGGATTTGTGAATTTGGCATGTTTGGTTCCAACAGCGACATCAATGTACTCCAGCGATCTCTATTATTCAAGAGATTTTCTGATGGAATGTGATGAGTTCAATTTTGTGTTTATTTATTTATTTTGTATCGTATTAGTAGGATTTTTCGGATCCTCCGCCTAATCTTGTCGTTGATCGCCCGCTGGTTCTTGTCAGCGACTCCGGCAACATCATCTCGGACATGTTGCCGACGACATTGATGAAGCCGGGTCGCCAAGGTCCATCCGCATGGGCCAACATGTGCTTCACCGGTGCACGCCAAGGAACCCCCGTAGAAACTCCGCTGACTTGTACCCACTCAATATGTTTAGCACCAACGCCATGCCGACGATGCCGGTAGACAGCGGCGGCATGCTGAGGAAGGTGAACATCATGGCGTCAGCCCCCATGGCCTCTCTCACCCCCACATTGTACCCCTTCGGGTCACCCCCGCCCGCCTCATGTCCTCCATCAGCCTCTCCCTGATGGCGCCGCCATAGATCGCGGCCACCCCCTCCTTCGCCGCGGCCTCTAGCGTGTCAGCTAGCGCCGGATCGCGGCAGAGCTCGCTAGCGTGCAAGAACCACCCACCCGGCACGAACAAGACGCTTAGGCCGGGGTCGGCGAGCACGCTGGCCTCCTCGTCCTTGAGCGCGGCCACCCCCTCCTCCGCTCGTCCGCCACCCGTGTACGCATATGGTGTGCGGGGCGACGGTTCCAGCGATGGGGCATGTATACCGTCAATCAATGTAAACTACTAAGCGCACACACAAAACGGATTAGATTAAAACTAGCCGTTAGACTTAGTTTAGTGAGCCTACTCATGCGGCGATAACGGGTTCATGCACGTTTTATGGGATGCGTTTAGAGAAGATAATGTTTCCTCAGCCTCAGAGATATGCCACTTTGACGGAACCACCCGTGCGTCGTTTTGCATGATTACTTTCAGCTGACACCTCCATCACCCTGCATTTATCCGTGCACAACAACGTATTTTAATGACCAAAACAACACTTACTCGAGTAGATGACATCGCCATGTTTTGTCTGCTCGACCGGTTGGTTTGACGCGACCGTCGGCTGACTGCCGTGGGAGTTTGAACGGTGGTTGCGGCTGGCCGAACCACGCTCCCAAATGGCGGGAAAAAGGGGCAGCAGCCCCACCCCGTCTCTCCCACTTTACTCCTCACCGACAAGAACCACAGTAAACCTTCCCAACGCTGGCAGCCAGCTCCATTCCATCAGATTCTTCACCGGCGAGTCCCAAACTTCTTATCGAGACGAATGTGCAGACCTGTTCACGAGTGATCTACGAGTAGCTCTGATCCGCCGATCACCGACTGCAGATCTCGGCGCCGCCGCCGGCTTCAGAGCTGAAGCATGGATGATGACGGGCTGGGAAAGCCTCTGCTTGGACGTGAGAGTCTCAGCACCCAAGACATTGATCTGGTAAGTCAGGTGCATTCAGTTAGGATATACTGTACAGTATACTGCACATTAACTTCGTTCTGTGGAAATGTGGTTCATGGCAATAGCGTGTCTGCAGGGGAACCTGCCCCTCGAAGAAGTTTTTGAGCAGCTGAGCATGTCTCGATGCGGTCTCTCCTCGGCGGATGCCGCGGAGCGGTTGCAGCTGTTCGGCGCAAACCGACTGGAGGAGAAGCGCGTAAATTCACTGTCTCTACTGCTTACTCGCTGTTTAACTCCAAGATTTCACCTCGTCTGAAGTCCTCATTTTTGTTTCTGGCAGGAGAACAAGGTTCTCAAGTTCATCAGCTTCATGTGGAACCCTCTGTCCTGGGTGATGGAGGCAGCAGCCGTGATGGCATTAGTCTTGGCAAATGGGGGTGTAAGTCAAGCACTATGCTATGCTATGTTCTGTGACCGATTCAGTCAAGAAAATCTCTGCAGTTTCGGGAAAAAAGTAGTGTGTTTTTTCAACAACAACAAAGAGAAGTGGTAGATTAATTTGGTGTCCACCTTTTCTTTCTTCAGAGTCAGGGACCTGACTGGGAGGACTTTGTGGGGATCGTCTGCCTTCTCATCATCAACTCGACAATCAGCTTCGTCGAGGAGAACAATGCCGGCAATGCCGCGGCCTCGCTCATGGCCCACTTGGCGCCTAGAACAAAGGTTGGTAGGAGCTTGGTGCATGCCTTGATTTACTGTGTGTTCATGCATGGCTGTGCCTGCAGGTTCTTAGAGATGGGCAATGGCAAGAGCTGGATGCCTCTGTATTGGTACCCGGGGACATCATCAGCATCAGGCTTGGTGACATTGTCCCTGCGGATGCGCGGCTGCTCGAGGGGGATCCTCTTAAAATTGACCAGGCAAAATCATATTTCATTTACAACGTATACCGATATTGATCATGCCATGACGGCCTGATTGTCCTGTCAAAGTGATCTTTCTAAAAACAATCTTGCAGTCAGCTCTCACTGGAGAATCACTTCCTGTGACCAAAAGGACCGGCGATCTAGTGTTCACTGGTTCAACTTGCAAGCATGGTGAGATTGAAGCTGTCGTCATCGCGACCGGGACCCGCTCATTCTTCGGGACGGCGGCTCATTTGGTGGACACCACAGAGGTTGTAGGCCATTTCCAGAAGGTGAGTCATCATCACTGCAGAATGTGATCAGATGTGCTAAGCATTAGTTGCAGAGAAATGTCTGCGGCGTGAGCTGAATTTTCCTACTGAAAATTTCAGGTTCTTACCTGCATAGGCAACTTCTGTATCTGCTCAATTGCGGTGGGGGTGATCGTTGAGGTTATCATCATGTTCGCGGTCCAGCATCGGTCATACCGGGAGGGGATCAACAATGTGCTTGTTCTTCTGATCGGAGGGATACCGATCGCGATGCCAACGGTTTTGTCGGTCACGCTCGCAATAGGTTCTCATCGCCTATCTCAGCAGGTGTGTCTGGATATTGCCATCACCTTTCTTCAGTTAACAAACAAATGATGTACTCCTAATACTATAATATCACTGGATTTGTTCTGAACTTTGCAGGGTGCCATCACCAAAAGAATGACAGCCATCGAGGAAATGGCAGGAATGGATGTTCTCTGCTGCGACAAAACCGGAACCCTCACTCTCAACCACCTTACCGTCGACAAAAACCTAATCGAGGTACTTTCTTACCTTAAAAGAAAGAGTATATTCATCCTATAAATTATAAGATTTATCATCGGTGCAACACTTGGCGTGCAAGCTGATCCGTCATTTTTGGCAAGTTCAGGTTTTCAGCGGAGGAATGGACAGGGACATGATCATTCTGTTGGCTGCAAGAGCATCAAGAGTGGATAATCAAGATGCAATCGACATGGCCATCATAAATATGCTCTCTGATCCCAAAGAGGTTTCTGAATCTCTGCACTTCATTTGAGCCTGCACATCAATAATGGATCACAAATCACAAATGTTACCTGTTCCTCCTCAGGCACGCGCGAACATCACCGAGGTTCACTTTCTCCCGTTCAATCCGGTCGACAAGAGGACGGCCATAACATACATTGATTCTGGTGGCAATTGGTCCCGGGTCAGCAAAGGAGCTCCTGAGCAGGTCCTCCCTCTCCCCTGCTGGAGAAGTTCATCACTGTACCTCATCAGTGCTGCTGACTGTCATCTATCTTTCAACATGGGACTTAATCATCTACAGTGTTTTAGGCTTTTAGCCATGACCCAGAACATCTGATCTGATATTGATCATCTTACAGATCCTCAACCTGTGCTTCAACAAGGATGACATCGCCGAGAAGGCGCAGCGGGTCGTCGACAGCTTCGCCGAGAGGGGCCTCCGTTCACTAGCAGTTGCTTACCAGGTACTACTAGTAACATACTCCTACATTCTGAATTCTGAAGGCCAGTTTCGGTTTCTGCTGGTGAATGCACACTGCTGCATTCTGAATTCTGAAGCGCTCCGCCGGATCGCCTTGATGCCTGAGATCAGGAGGTCCCGGAGAGATCGAGGCACGGCGACGGCGGGCCGTGGGTCTTCTGCGGCGTGCTGCCGCTGTTCGACCCGCCGCGGCACGACAGCGCGGACACCATCCGCAGGGCCCTGGACCTGGGCGTGTGCGTGAAGATGATCACCGGCGACCACCTGGCGATCGCCAAGGAGACCGGCCGGCGGCTAGGGACGGGGACCAACATGCACCCGTCGGCGGCGCTGTTCGGCAGCCGCGGCGGCGGCGACGAGGGGGCGGCGATGCCGGTGGAGGAGCTGGTGGAGGGCGCGGACGGGTTCGCGGGCGTGTTCCCGGAGCACAAGCACGAGATCGTGCGGCTCCTGCAGGCCAACGGCCACGTGTGCGGGATGACGGGCGACGGCGTGAACGACGCGCCGGCGCTGAAGAAGGCCGACATCGGCATCGCGGTGTCGGAGGCGACGGACGCCGCCCGGGCCGCCGCCGACATCGTGCTGACGGAGCCCGGCCTCGGCGTCATCGTCTGCGCCGTCCTCACCAGCCGCGCCATCTTCCAGCGCATGAAGAACTACACGGTGAATCTTGAGTTTTCCACACATGCCACGCCATTGCCAGCACCACAAATGTTCAGTTCAGTTACTGGGATTTGCTTGTGATGATTTCTACTACCTTGCCGATGCAGATTTACGCCGTGTGCATCACCATACGGATAGTGGTAAGAATGCAGCAGCAAATCAAGTTGTTTTGCAGCATGATCTGCGATGCATATGAGATATAACTATTACAGTGATCTTCCTGTGTTCTTGTATGGTTGCAGGTTGGGTTTGTGCTTCTGGCGTCGATATGGGAGTACGACTTCCCGCCGTTCATGGTGCTCGTCATAGCCATACTCAACGATGGTAACTAACGTAGCATCTCTGAACTTGACCATGCCAAGTTTCAGACCATACTTGGCCCTGTTTGGTTCGGCTGTGGATTTCTAAAAGCAGCTGTGAAAAATCTGATTTAAAAAAGATGTAGGTCATTTGGCAAACCAGCTGATACAACCTTTTTAGATTTTGGCCCGCAGCGGAATCAGATTTTGGAAAGCACGTCCTGGGCTGCTTCCGTTTTTGGTTCAGATTTTGGCAGCGGATTTCTGGAATCGGATTCTGCTGGGTTCGCTCTTTGGTTCAGATTCTGCTGCGCGGCAGCGGAATCCGGCGATAAAAGCTGAACCAAACAGGGCCTTACTGAAACACATAGCCTGACCGAAATGCCTTACCAGGGACGATCATGGCGATATCCAAGGACCGGGTGACGCCGTCGTGGAGCCCGGACAGCTGGAAGCTGAAGGAGATATTCGCCACCGGCGTCGTCATCGGCGCCTACCTCGCGCTGGCCACGGTGCTCTTCTACTGGGCGGTCACCAGAACCACATTCTTCGAGGTTGGCAGAGCAGAAACTGAACATCCAAGGCTGCAGTCTCACTTCAGCCTTCTGATGCTTTCTGATCTCTGAAACTGCAGTCTCACTTCGGGGTGCGGTCGCTGAAGCTGGACGCGGAGGAGGTGTCGTCGGCGGTGTACCTGCAGGTGAGCATCACCAGCCAGGCCCTGATATTCGTGACCCGCAGCCGGGGCCTCTCCTTCCTCGACCGGCCGGGGGCGCTGCTCGTCGGCGCCTTCGCCGTCGCGCAGCTGGTGGCCACCCTGGTGGCGGTGTACGCGGCCGCCGGCTTCGCGTCGATCAGCGGCGTCGGGTGGCGCTGGGCCGGCGTCATCTGGCTCTACAGCCTGGCGTCCTACCTCCCGCTCGACCCCATCAAGGTCGCCGTCCGCTACGCCCTCAGCGGCGAGGCCTGGGGCCTGCTCCTCGACCGGAAGGTACGGCCTCCGTTCATGGCTACATGCCTGCACCTGTTGACTCACTCTCTTCAGGCTGCGTTTGCAAGGAGGAGGAAAGACTACTACGGCAACGGCGAGGAGGATCGCTCTCTGACCATCTCCTCAGCAGCCGGACGCCGCGCTCCGCCGTCGCGGCGCAAGCGAGGCGGCGCGCCGAGATCGCCAGGTAAGGTTTCGCTGTTGGCTATTGCAGTTCCATGGAAGGGGCACTGAAGAAATGAACAGCAGCACTAACAGACCTTGTGTTTTCGTTAGCAGGCTGGGAGAAACACACGCACCGAGGGCGCACGTCGACTCTGTCATGAGGCTCAAGCGCGACCGGTCGGCTCACTCCGTTTGATGATCTGCTTGAAGGTGGTCTGCACATGTTGAGAGCAGAGAGCAGCAGCTTATTCTCAGCTGATTCAGGCAAACCATTTCTCAGTAATACAAGCAGTAACTCCCTGTAAACCTCTTCTTTTTTAGGGTAATAATCAGCAGACCTGATGCCATGGATACCATGGTTATTTGGAGCATTGGTAGATATATATAAGTCAAGTGTGAAATCTAACAGGATGGCACCAATGCTGATTTGTGGACATGTCACAGCCAAACAGCACTAATACTTAGTAGGTATAATAAATCAAGCGAAACCTGTGTGTGATATGTACTGACAGAACCGGACACCAATTCTGCTCTGTTCCTCCACTCTTCTCTCGGCTAGGCGCTAGAAGAAATAAACAAATATAATCTCGGACGCGATATCAGGGGATATATTAGAAGGGTTGTGCTCGCGTCATATGAAATCCTGGTCCTGGTCATCTCCTCGCCGGGAGGCGTCGCCGTCGAGCATCTTCTTCGTCATGTTGGCCCTCTGCACGAGCCGGACCAACGCCTGCACCACCTCCGACATCGGTGGCCTGAACTCCGGCTCAGCCTGCAAAAATAGTTCCGAGGCTCGGGCATTATTGACTCACGCGTGCATGTTTGGCGTTGTATGGTAAATTTGCTTGAGATAGTTGAGTGAAGTCCTACCTGGACACACAGGGCGAGCACGTCGGCGAATCGGGACAGAGACTTGGCAGGGTACAGGCCCTTGAGCGCAGGATCAACCATCCTGTCCAAGGCATCGATGTCGTGGAGCTGGGGAGACGCCCACCGCACGAGCGACTGCTCCGACCTAGGCTTGGAGCTGTAATGCAAACGGTCACGCGGTCACTTCTCGTAGGATCATAAATTGTCAAATTCGTAAACATGCCCGAGCCAAAAACTGGTCATGGCTGATAAAGTTACCTGTCAAATGGTTTGCGTCCGGTCAAAAGCTCTAGCATGACAACCCCAAAGCTGTAGACATCACTCTTCATTGTGTACTGGCCAGTCATGTCCACCTCTGGGGCAGTGCACCCGGCACTCTGTTCTGCTGTCTGCAGAGGTTTATTTGATGGTGGCCCGTTAGGCAATCATTATGCACCATAATGTGTAAAATGCTAAGCTAGAATTGTATATAGTTCATGTATATCAAAATAATCTATAATACATAGAAAATAACTTAGCAAGCCAAGAGCTATTTGTTTACGAGTTCTAAAAGCATGCAACTATGCAAGCAATCCTCTAAAATGGGTCTAGGAGTACATGGAACAGACCTGGAACTCGGCATCAGGAATAAAGCTTGCAAGTCCAGCATCTGAAACGTGCGGGTTGTATTCTGAGTCGAGCAGAATGTTGGATGACTTGAAATTCTTATGGACGACAGACGGAGAACACACTTCATGAAGATACCTGCAAATTATATTTACAGTGGGAAATGGTAAGGCATCTGCAAATGATACTTCGGAACGAACATATATCTTACAATAGATTATGTAACAAACAAAATCATTGTTGAAGAATATTCTTGAACCATTCAGTCAACACTCAGAGGGCAGGCCTGGCGCAGTGGTGAAGTCCTCCCCACTTGTGCCAAGAGGTCCTGGGTTCGAACCAGCCTCTCTGCATTGCACTTTGCAGGGGTAAGACTAGGTTCATATAATCCCTCCCCAGACCCCACCTTGTGTGGGAGCTTCTATGCACTGGGTCTGTCCTTTATTCAGTCAACACTCAATACTACTCCCTCAGTTCCAAAATAAGTGTCACGGTTTTAGTTCAAACTAAAATTTTACACTAAGAAAACATGTAGAGAAGACATGCATCAAAAAGTCCACACATCACTTGCAACAAATACCTACAGCTCAGAGAGATTCCGGTGGCATGATATGGACAAGACAAGCATGTTAATTAGTTGATTGACTATCATTAACTAGAAGATGACAAAATAGTTTTTTCCTATTTTTAAGCTAGCAATAGTCACTCAGCTTGCCCAGTTGGATCTGGACACACAAGACACATCATCAAACCAACCAGATCAACATATATAGTTCACTGCCACTTACTCCAGTGCGCGGGCAGAGCCTAGTGCGATCTTAATGCGGGAGTTCCAGCTAAGTGGCTTGCTGTATTCGTCTGAAAGATGAAGTAGATCATGAAGTGATCCGTTCCTGTGGAAATCATATACAAGCAAGTGTTGTCCATGTTCCATGCAATAGCCCACAAGCTCATTGAGATTCGGATGGTGCAGAATCGAAATGTTTGAGACCAGTTCAACAAAGTCTTCAGATGATTGGAATGGTATTACAGTACAATCTAGTTTCTTCACGGCCAAAACCTGAACAGAGTAAACAAGAACAGTAAGCGCCATATATTTAAATGGCTCAATCTTCTGTTTTTCATTATCTAGACACATTTAAAGAAGGGCAAAAATACAATATCAGGAGAAGCTATCATTAAGCGCCAAAAGAACATCCAAATTATGAGGGATGCTTCTATGCTCCTTCGTTCTTCTCCATAACAAGACTGATGTTAAATACATTATGCTTGGAACACATAAATCCTGTCTTAGATCAGTATAATTTCTACCCTTTCACTAATGTGAAGATCATGCATAGAGAAAATGTTATAGGGAGGACCTATTGCAGACATGTTACCACATGACTACTTGAAACCGAGAACCGCAATCCAATTAAAAAAACAGTCCTGAAGGCCTTAAGAATACAAGTAAAGAAAACATTCTTGTGCTTTGAGAAATATACAAGACCAGCGATCAGATGTAATACCTTTCCATCGTTGAACTGTGACCTGTAGACACGTCCAAAAGTACCCTCTCCAACAAGGTTATCCATGCTGAAGCTATCTGTTGCTATTTGTAGATCTGCAACTGAATAAACAACTGCCTTTATAGGTTTTGTGTTGCTTTTCCTTGCGACAGGTTTGCTTGAGAAGTCATCATCATCATCGAATGACTTGTTGCGTTCAATCTTGGCAGGTGGCTTCAGACCAACTGAAGCAGGGGAAGCCAAAGAGTCCACATCTATTGTGGTTGACTCTTCAAAAGGCTTCATGTCTGCAGCAAGCGTAGAAGCAATCAGTCACAAGATTAGCCAACTAGAAAAAACATCTCTCTAGTATGATAAACGTCAAGCTAACTGACCTTTAACTTCGTTTGAAGGGAATGAAGTGAATGGCTGGTGCTGTTCAAAGTGCTCTTCCCTTTTAGATTTGCGTTTCTTTCTTATCACAAAGAATGCAACAATTGCTCCGACAACCAGCAAAGATATGATAATGCCCGCTACAGCCCCGCCACTTATTCCAGACTTTCCATCAGAAGATGATGAACCACTGTCTTTTTTAGCTGGGCTCTTCCGACGGTTTGAAGGTGGAGCTGTGAATGGCGGTGGCGGTGGAGCTGGTCCCGAAGTCCAAGAATTACCATCAGTCCTACACACAAGCACCATATTAGTTTAGGATACACCCCTAACAAGTGCATGTTAGGAAATCAAGAGACTCACTGTAGACTATTTATCTTCTTAAGCTGACTAGGAATCCAACCAGTGAAGCGATTATTTGCAACATTCCTACAGGTAAGCGAGATATGAGATGATAATGCATATGTAAATAAATCATCGATAAATTTGATGTTGGTTACTTACAGATCAGAAAGGGGAAGATCAGCTAGGACATTGATAGAACCGGTCAACTGATTGTTCTGCAAATATCTGAGAAGTACCAAGACAGGGTTAGATACTTAGATGCATGGCACTCTAATAGGATATGTGGATAGAGAATGTGACTCTATTTCTTACAGAGTCTTAACACTTGACAGTGAACTTAAACCTTCTGGTAGGTCACCAGTAAGAGAATTAAAGGAGAGATCCCTGCATCACATTGCACATGAAAATAGTAAGAGAATCGAAACATCTAGAACATGAACGAAAGAGAGAGGGAGAGAGAGAGAGAGAGAGAGAGAGAGAGAGAGAGAGAGAGAGTGATTTTACAACACAAGTTAAGACACATCTGATAATTCACGTAACAAATGTACTCACACTGTTGTCAAGCTACCAAGGTTGGAAAATACGTCGGTCATCTTTCCTTGTAACTGGTTATGGTTAAGATTTCTGCATACACCAGGAAAAAAAATCACTTAGTCCTAGTACATGATGCAAACTCCAAGGCGATTTATTAATTCTGGCTGCAAAGATACTCACAAATATTTAAGATTATTCATCGAGAAAATCGAGTAGGGCAAATTTCCACCGAACTGGTTTCCTGCGAGATTGCTGCAAAACAAGATTCATTTAACAGCTAGAGACAACAAAAGTTGAGAAAACAAAATCAAATGTGTGAATTCATCAGAGGAACTTACAGCCTCTCAAGCTTAGCTGTGGGGAGATTATACTGTATCGCTTGTCCGCCACCAAGGCTGTTTTGGCTCATATCACTGCATGATTTTTTTTAAGATGATGGTTATCAACTGAACTCCCACAGCAAACAAGGTTGAGCATAAGATTTTAAGTTTGGGCGCTCACATCTCGACCAATGAACTCATGGTATTCATATTGTAGCCCAAATTCCCGGACAGCCCCAAGCTTGGCAGTTTGCTGCATCATCAAACAAAGGAAAATATGCTAAGAGGGAGCAAGAAATGAACACGGTTTAGTGACTGGTTTGTTTCATCAGACTCACATTGCTGTAACCGACGATCCTGAGCAAGTGATGCCCTGCCATGATTCGCCGCAGGGGTCACCGCCATTCACTTGCCAGCCTTTGAGCTGCCCCGGAGAATTCAAGCTGGTGAAGAGCGTGTTGAGGGCAGTAACTGCATGTAAGACAGCCACGAATTACTAAAGGCCGTGTCACTAAACAAACCTCGGTTCATCTGCAGTCTGAAGTAGCAGGATATATATCTATGCACGGATTATGTTCAAACATCATGAGGACTAAAGGGGGTAAACAGAACAGAAACAAAAACTGGAAAGGTAATCTACTGGTGAAGAGCAAACCAATCGGACCCACTACAGCAATTTCCATGATCCAGCTAAATGCAAAAAATATAGAGAGAAGGAAGTGTCACATCTAGAAGGTGGGTGGGAAGAAAACGACTTGAGTTTTTCGGAGGGAAATCTAGACCAAAATTATTTCTTCTGAAAGAACAAAAAGGTTTCCCCATCCAATGCTTTCTTTTTCTCAGAATCCTTCCTTTATCCCCTACGCAACTATATCAGGATTCAAAGAGTAAGAGAAAGGATCACTTGCTCAAATTACCCATCAAAGCTATAAAAGAATGTGCTAGCACCACCTAATTATAGCTGGAGTACCAAACTAAAATCAGCCTATTTTCACA